GAGACAGGTCTGGGGCTGGGGCTGGGGTCGTCCGGGATGGGAGAGAGGGTACCGCATAGCAGAGCGGCCAGCGCGCGCGAGTGGAGGATGGTGGTGGGACTTCTGCTGGAAACAGGGCCCTGGCTCAGGAGGGAGAACGGCTTCCGCGTAAGTGCAGGGAAGCGCTGGCTGCAAGAGCGCAGTCTGCCCGCATAGGAGAAGGGTTTGCAGATGGGACCGTGGGTCTGGTTAAAGGGGTGCAGTAGGGATTGGAGAGTTTGGTCGGGCTAGGAGAGGCAGCCTTATAAAACTGCGTCTGGATTAGAGAGGCTTCCAAAGAGGGCTAAGGGCGAGGGAGTTGCCTACAAGAGGGGCCCTCGTTGGAGGGACCAATTCGGATGAAAGAGGCTACCACTCTGCATAAGGCGGGAGTGTGGATCTCTGCAGAAGAGGGGGGAAGTTCCGGATTGGAAGAGGTAACAACCAATAGAAGAAAAGCTCTGGGCTGATTGGAGGGCGAGGTGACCCTGGCTGTAGGGGGCAGGGCCTCCAATGGGGTGGGTGGGGGTCCCGATTGGAGAGGACTAGTCTTCTAGTTACGGGGTGGAATAGGTGTAACTGGACTAGCCCTGTTAGTGCCGCACCAGGGACTTGAATGGATATGAATGACATAAAGGAGGAGCATACCCGGTAGTAGACAGTGAAGTTGCAGAAAACTGAAGGGGGAAGCTGGAGAGAGACCTGAGGAAGTGGGAAGCTAACAATATGTCGGGAGGTCCGAGAAAGAAATGAGGGCCTGGCCCATGGGGATACACATGTGAGGAGGACATTGACCAAGACGATGTCTTGGGATCTTCCTGTCCTCAGATTAGGTTCTGCAATTTTGGATCCTCCTCCAGATTCTGCAGACTGCCATAAACCTTTAGTGTTACAGAGTTTGGGCGGGAGGGGCTCACAGATGGAGATGAGAGAGAGTTTGGGGGAACAGGGTTAGGTGGGGGAACAGCCAGGACAAGGTGAGAGTTTGGGCCGGACAGGGTAGTAGCAAGAAGAGATCCCCAATTTGACTGGGCTGGGGCGTGAGGGTCTTGGGGGTAGGGTTTCGGCTGTTGCTGATTTCTCGTCCCCCATCCCCTTTCCCTCCAGCCTTCCTTTCCTGGTTCCGCAATGGCCTCCTGGCATCAGGCATCGGGGTCATCTCCTTCATGCAGAGTGACATGGGTCGGGAGGCCGCCTATGGTGAGTGCAGATCCCACTCCCACGCCCACTAGGGAGTGTGAGTGCTCCCTCCCCCACTGGGGAAGGTAGACCCCCACCCTCACCCTGCCCCATGCATGTGGCCTCTCTCCTGCCCCATCCCATCACTTTCCCAGAGTAAATGTAGCTAGAACCCCTCATTCTTCCCCGAAGGAAAAAGGCCTTTCCACCCACCCTGTCCCTACCTCATGGGCACTGGATGCACCTGAGACGGTAGCTCAGGGCAGGGCTGTGGGTCCTCCCCGTTTCCAAACTGACTTAACAAAGATGAGGGTCCTACCTAGTCCCTGCCCATCACCCTGCCCCTGCCCCTGCCCCAGGCCGGTCCCACCCCTGCCCCTTCGACCTTATCTTTGCTCTCAGACCAGCCCCTCACACCTCCTCTGATCCTGGAGCCTGCCTCCAAGCCCTAGACACTGCCTGATTCTATCTCGTGCCCCCGACCTTGGCTCTGTACTACTCCTGACCTCTACCTACCCTGCACTTGAGTTTGCTCCATCCCCTTTCTAACTCCATCTCAGTCCCCTGACCCTGGCCCCGCTCTGTCCCCACAGGCTTCTTCCTGCTGGGCGGCCTGTGTGTGGTGTGGGGCGGTGCCTCCTACGTGGTGGG